AGAGACAGAAAGAGAGAACCCCCCCCCCCCCCAGGGAGGATGGCCATGCCACAGTCCCTTCTCCTCCATTCTCCTCTCGGGATCTTGGGCACGCACACACACAGGCCCGACGTGAGTTTAAGCTGCCGGGTCCGGGACTCGAACCGCGGTCGACTACGTGGGAGTCCAGTGACATAGCCATTATGCCGACTGCTGGTCCCAAAACACGAGTATTTTAAAATTAAGCCTTAGTTCTGAAACAAACCCAAATCTGCCACACAGCACCTTCTGAAAAAGGCACAAAATCAAACTATTATAGGTGGAACACAATCCCAGAAAGGTACACTGATAATGGAATGATGGAGAGAGAAGCAGACAGATAGCAGAAAGCAGTAAAGTCTGTGAGAAACGGATACAAAGAACAGAAAACATTTACCGAGAGCCTATTCCGTATCAGGTGCAATCCCAGCTAACAGTTCTGCCAGGTCTAACTTCCAGGCTATGCTCTTTCTCTAATCCCATGGCCTATTTTGTTGATGGGAAGAGGTGTTACAGTTGCAGGCGTTGTGAGGCCAAGTGAATACACTTAAGGTGCTGGACTGCTTTATGGAGATGGTGCACTTTGCTGCTTAAAGAGCTAAGAGGAGCTTCAAGGAAAGGAGGATAATAAGGGGTGGAAGTGGAAGGAGGTGTAGGAGGTGAGATTCAGGTCCGGGGAATAGCCTACAGGATGTATTGATCGTTTAAGGGAACCCAACGAGTTGTCCTTGTCCCCAAATACCTCTCTGCCCAAAGGAAATCACCACCATTATGGTTTTATGGTTAAAGGCCCTTTTTTACGCATTACCTAGTAAAAACAACCCACCAACAAGAACAGACTAATTAGTTTATCAGATGAGTCATCACCTGGAGTGACATGGTGGGAGGGCACCGGGACCTGATGGAAGAAGACAAAGGCAGGTTTAGATAGCAGACAGGAAAGGTCCATAGCTTGGACTGTATTTCTGAGACCAGGAAAATGGGTGGGGGGTGACAACAGGCACCTGGTGTGGATTTCAGACAATGGTGGGTGGTAAAGGAAAACTTGGCCCATTTCCACATGCTGCCTTTATCAAGCACTACCTTGAGCCCTGTTATGCATCTACGTTCTTGACCCTGACCTCAATGGTTGCAAGGCTGAGGGACATGAAGGGGAAACTTCTGTGCGTAGGAATTCTGAGCTACCACAGATATGCTATTACCATACGTCCAGCTTTGGGAGCCACAGAGCTAAACCAGGCATGCCAAAGTGTCACAGTTTAGGACTTTCCTAAAGAGAAGCAAATGTGCTCCTCGCCAGCTCCTGACACCTGTGGCTCAGCTCTGACAGCTTAACGAGTCCCACCCGCCATCTCTCCTCTCCTGGGAGAGAGTCTTTCCTGCAGCAGGACCAGTACATACATTCACGGAGTATTGTTTCTTTGAGCTGGAAGAGAATCCCATGCATAAGCTTAGATAGCTCCTGAAGGCCACCAGGGGGCAGTGTATAGTAGGGACCTATGAGCAGGGAGCATGCAGCAGCCACAGGTAAGATCTGGCTCTTACTGAGTTGTACCACTCCCCAGCTCCCCCCTTCCCTCACTATTCCACTCCCGCTACCCCCAACCCTAGACATTCCCCTTCCACAATAATCTAACTTCCTCTGAGCTTCTAGTCCTAACTCAGGGACTCTCGACAGCCTGAATCAACTGTCTTGGAACTCAAAGCTTCCCACAACAGCCAGACCAGGAAAGCAGAGCCCTTGACAATGGGATAATGGGAGCGAGGGGAGGAGGGGCATTGGAGGAAGTCAGTAGGAAAAGTGACCAGAGCTGGACATCAAGAGGGAACCTCAGGTTGTAAAATGTATATGCTCAGGCTTGGGGACCCTACTTCTTTCCCTCACCTACACCCAGGCTGAATGGGTTCTCTGTAGGCAGCCCTGCAGTAAGGAAAGGTTCCAACTCTTTCTCTAGGTCCTTTCTTTAAGCGACAAGTGTACGTGTAAGCTATAAACCAGGGACTGTAAGCTATAAACCAGAGATTCCCGTAGGTGACCAGCTGGCCCAGTGTTATTCCAGAGAAAAACATTAGCTTCTATCAGACGTTGCTACTGGGTAGGAAGGGGGACCAGGCTGATTCATGGCCTTTAGGGAAGGGCCAAGACTTCAGGCTAACAATAGGGGACTAGGGGGGCCAGCAGGTGGCCTAATAATTAAGATCAACTAGATCACACATCTCCAACTGTGCAGTTCATGTCCAGGACCCAGTGGCTTGAAAAACACACGTAGGAATTCTGAGCTACCACAGATATGCTATTACCATACGTCCAGCTTTGGGAGCCACAGAGCTAAACCAGGCATGCCAAAGTGTCACAGTTTAGGACTTTCCTAAAGAGAAGCAAATGTGCTCCTCGCCAGCTCCTGACACCTGTGGCTCAGCTCTGACAGCTTAACGAGTCCCACCCGCCATCTCTCCTCTCCTGGGAGAGAGTCTTTCCTGCAGCAGGACCAGTACATACATTCACGGAGTATTGTTTCTTTGAGCTGGAAGAGAATCCCATGCATAAGCTTAGATAGCTCCTGAAGGCCACCAGGGGGCAGTGTATAGTAGGGACCTATGAGCAGGGAGCATGCAGCAGCCACAGGTAAGATCTGGCTCTTACTGAGTTGTACCACTCCCCAGCTCCCCCCTTCCCTCACTATTCCACTCCCGCTACCCCCAACCCTAGACATTCCCCTTCCACAATAATCTAACTTCCTCTGAGCTTCTAGTCCTAACTCAGGGACTCTCGACAGCCTGAATCAACTGTCTTGGAACTCAAAGCTTCCCACAACAGCCAGACCAGGAAAGCAGAGCCCTTGACAATGGGATAATGGGAGCGAGGGGAGGAGGGGCATTGGAGGAAGTCAGTAGGAAAAGTGACCAGAGCTGGACATCAAGAGGGAACCTCAGGTTGTAAAATGTATATGCTCAGGCTTGGGGACCCTACTTCTTTCCCTCACCTACACCCAGGCTGAATGGGTTCTCTGTAGGCAGCCCTGCAGTAAGGAAAGGTTCCAACTCTTTCTCTAGGTCCTTTCTTTAAGCGACAAGTGTACGTGTAAGCTATAAACCAGGGACTGTAAGCTATAAACCAGAGATTCCCGTAGGTGACCAGCTGGCCCAGTGTTATTCCAGAGAAAAACATTAGCTTCTATCAGACGTTGCTACTGGGTAGGAAGGGGGACCAGGCTGATTCATGGCCTTTAGGGAAGGGCCAAGACTTCAGGCTAACAATAGGGGACTAGGGGGGCCAGCAGGTGGCCTAATAATTAAGATCAACTAGATCACACATCTCCAACTGTGCAGTTCATGTCCAGGACCCAGTGGCTTGAAAAACACACCAGGCACAAGTGCATGCATGCCCAAAACCCTGAGAGGAAAATGGAGAAGGGACTGTGGTATGGCAATATTCCCCTCACCCTCCACCCCCTGTGGAGGGGTGACTTTTCCCTTTCTCTCTCTCTTTCTGTCTCTGTCTCTCTCTGGAAGCACACACACTGTATGGTAAAAACCTAAACAAAACAAAACAAACAAAAAACCCAACCCTTAAGACAAAACAAAACATGGGACCAAGGTGCTTTGAATATCAATACCCAAAGGGAGTAAGAGAGAGAAGGGGTGTGCAAGGGCCTTCCTGCTCCCCAGACAGCCCTGGTCCACCCAACAGTCAGCACGCGACCAGGGAGGCAGAATGGCTGTCCTGTCTTGGTGGGAAGTGGGACCAGTAACCTAGAGAAGGGAGGACTCTTCTGGATCATGTTGCTGATAGACTGCCAAGCCCCCTCTTAGGGAAGAAGTAAGATCTCAAGAAATAGAGTCTCAAGATCCAGCTGAGAAAGGAGCAAGTAAAGGTGAGGGTTAGGGTTAGTCCCCTTTTCTCCCTTTCTTTGGGGATGAATCACCCTTGGAATGGAAGTGTTTTCCAATAAGGTCCTGGAAGCTTTCCCTTTATTAGCCCACCAGTAGGAAAATGTCAGGCATCAGACTGGCCGTGTCGGATAGTGTTAAGGCTATGCCCCAGCCTCTCACTTTGGCAGGCGGGCAAGCAGATACTTATATTACAATTTATAAATAAAAAATAAAATAAAATTATCAGGTGGGGCTGAAGCACTAGGGAAGAGACTAAACACAGTCCTCATGAAGGAATGTCCACCATCAACTCCACCTGGGACCTGGGAAGTCGCCCCTAACCAGGCCGCTCCCTATAGCCGCTTTTTCTCCCTATCCTTCCCTCCCTCCTGTCCATATCCCCAAGTAGGCTCCCAGAGGTTTCTATGCCTGGGCCGTTCAGTCCAGCAGCTCCTCCGCCAAGCGATAGAGAAGCCGAGAGTACCAATGCATGCCAGTCGGCTGCACAGCCCCGCCGGGGAGAAGCGCTCCCAGAGCGTGCAGCAGGCGCAAAGGAGCGAAAGCGCGGTGCGCCCACTGGTGACTTTCCAGAACCGCATAGCACGAAGCCAAGACGTCGTTGACCAGCAACGTCCCGTGCGCAGTCAGAGGTGCGAACACGCCCACGGCTTCCTCCCGCGCCACGCGGGCCACGCGCGCTGGCCGAAGCGCGTCCCCGCCGGGCGCCAGCACCGAGTCCCCAGCGCGTAGCCTGCGAGCGAACACCGGTGCAAAGTCGCCCGGAGCCGGCGCTGGCCCTCGGGCGGCGAACACCAGATGCCAAGGCGTGAGCAACAGTTTGCGTGGGGGCCTCTCGGTTTCCACAGCCACGAACGAGGCCCGGCGCTGCAAGTCCCGGTCCAGGAAGAGCAGCACGGGAGTGGGCACTACACGGCCTGCCGCGTCGGCCGCCAGCACCCAGTCTCCGCGATGCAGTTCCCGAAGTCCCTTCCGCTCGCCGCTCCGCAGGCGCACGGTGGCATTTCCCGGAAAGCAGCCTCCAGCCCGAACCGCCAGGGAATTGTCTGCAGAGAACACAATAGGAGGATTAATTGGGACCAGCGTTTCCACGATGTTGGTACGGATTCTCAAAGATGTGGGTCAAGCCCAGCGCAGACCTCGCCAGACCTGGACAACGCAATTTCCCACGACTCTGGCCCCGGTGTGGGCAGAAATGAAACGGTTCACAGCACTAACGCTTGTTTGGTCTCCCCTAGGGTGGCAACAGGGCTATCGCAGACCCAGGTCCCGAGGAGTCCCCTTTGGGCGACCATTACCACCCGCCCCCTACCGTACCAGCTTTGACCGACACGTGGACGTGGTTGCGGGACTCATAGTAGACCCAGTCGAAGCCGGCTTCCACTGCCAGGCGCGCCAGCAGCCCGTACTTGTTGCGGTCGCGGTCGGACGTGGTGATGTCCAAGGCACGGCCTTCATAGTGAAGTGAGTCCTGAGCGTGGTGGCCATCCTCGTCCCAGCCCTCGGTCACTCGAAGGCGCACTCCGGGCCACATGTTCATCACGGCGATGGCCAGCGCATTCACCCGCTCCTTACAGCGCTGCGCGTGGGAACAAAGGAGTCAGTTTCTCACCACCATCATGACCACAGGGGCAAAGGGGACTTGGTTAGGAGGGTCCATTCTTATCTTCGCCTGGTCCCGCTCTACTCCCTCCTAGCTTCGTGCCCGAGGGAGGTGGGAGTCTGAACAGGTGTAGTCACCAGTCTGCACTCCTTTGTTGGAGAACTGTGGGGTCACCTTTGACGTTGAGAGGGGGCACCCATACTGACCCTCTCTCCAGTTTTAATGCCCATCCCTCATGCCTGCTTGTTTGGGGACCTTAGCTCAACCTGGGAGAGGGCCAGACTTAAGAAGGAGGGAGGAAGCTTGGTGTGGGGTGTGGGCCGGCTCCTCCAGAGGAGCCGGGGTTTGAGCCTGGCCCCCGCCTCAGGCCCCGGCTGCCCTCCCTCTGCCTGATTCATCTTTTGTTTCGTTGCCTTCCCTGGCACTGGGCACCGCTTCCTTCCTTCCTTCCTCCTCCTCCTCCTTTGGGCCCCTAGCATTAACCCCTTCGAGGTCTGGGCGCCCCCCACAGAGATGCCCCTGAGAAGCCGTGAGGGATCAAGGCTGCTGGAAAAAGGCTTGGAGTGGCGGGGGCTGCGCGAAGTACAATGGCCATTCTCCGGGATGACTTAACCGAGCGAGAATCCCGGGCCGAGGCCGGGGACGCGCCCGGGGCGGGGGCGGCGGGGGAAGAGGGGGCCCCCGCCCCCCCAGCCACAAAGGCGCTTTTCAGCCGCCCCAGCTCAGGGAGAGGAAAGGGCATAAAGCCGCGCCCCTCATCCCTGCTCCGGCCCGTCAGGTCCCCTCCCCCAGCGCGGCCGGTCCTCTCAGTCCCAGCTCAGGCTCTGCCAGCCCCGAGAGCCCCCTTTCTCCATCTCTGCTCCCGACGCAGCCGGAAAGGCGTGGGAATAGCACCTGAGAATAACTGGAGCTGCCCTGGAGCGGATCTGGGGGGCCCCCTGCAGGGTGGGAGTGGAGAGGAGGAAAAGCGAGAGGCTGGAAGCCTGCCTGGGGGAGTGAGACCAGTTATCTCGGCCGCTCCAGCCCGGGAGCTGGAGACCTTGGCGCGCACCATAGCAGGGACACCGCGGGAGGAGGCGCAGAGAGGACGGTTTCCTTTTCTTCTTCCCGCTCCAACCTCTCACCTTGGACTTGATTTCCTTCTAACTGCCAGAGGGACACTTTCCCCCTGCCCTTCTTCTCCAGTCTTGTCCACCTCCGCAGGGTTGAGGGGACTGGGGCGGAGAACAGGAAAAGTGGTAGCTCCTTCCAACTTCTTGTCGTTTTGTCCCCTCAGGAGGCCCGGAGGCCCTGACCTGCGGGGGCAGCAGCCCAGTGCAGAGCCAACTCAATGAGGCCTTTTGCAGCTGGGGTGTGGGAGACAGGCAAGACTGAGGGGTTCCCAGGCCCGGCAGAGCCCCTCCTGAGCCTGTCCCTCTTTCTGCCCCCTCTGCAGGTGGCAGCAAGTAGGAAAGGGCCACGGTGCTCTGTGACCAAGGAGAAAGGAAAGGTTGCTGCCTTCCTGATCTCCGGGTAGGAGGGAGGCTTCAGGGCAGGAGCAACGAGGAGCTTTCTCCCCTGGACAGGTTTTCCTAACAAAGTAACCTGGAAAACTATGGCAATTAATCAGAGGAAATCCGTACCCCTCCCACTCCCCCCACGCCCCCACTCTATACACAATTAGGTGGTGTAATGGAAAGTGTAAGGAGTTAGAGTCAGGAGCCCTGAATTCTAGTCCCAGCCATGCCACTAATTAGTTGTGAGATTTTGATTAAATTGTCTTTCCTCCTGGGGCCCAGCTCTCTTTAGGGCCCCACTCTAAAGTGGGGGTGGGGTGGAGTGGAGGAATGTCACCATTCTGACATTCAAGGTCACTAGCCAGAGGTGGTCCTTCTCTCACAAGACTGGAGGGCCTCACCCTGTGTTGGTTCAGTTCTGGTCTGCGGCAGATGCTCAGTGATGGTGGTTGGATTTAATTCTTTCCTAGCGAGGAAAGTCCTTGAGCTAAACTTAGCTTGGGGGACCCCAGAGCCCTTTGATTCTCAGGTGGGCTCATATGTTCTTCTCATTGAGTTCTGTTTTTTTACCCCAGACTGTCCTTTGGACCCGAGATTAGCAGCTCTGCGCTGGTTAGCACCTCTCCCGTGCCAAGGCTAATTCCTGCTCAGCCCCTCCTCAGGTAGACGGCCTGGTGACCTGACCCTTGCTCACGGCTTTCCCCACCCCCTTCAGATTGCTCTCCGTGTTCCACACAGCTTTTCCACAATCGGGTCTGGAGCCAGGCTAAGGGCAAAGCTTTCTATCTGCTGCCTAGCCAGCTCCTGGCCCCCAGCTCACCCCAGCCCTTCCTGCCTGGCTCGGTGGCTGACCCCCGGTCCACGCCTCAGCCATTTCCCGTCTCGCCTGCCGCCATCCTCCTTTCCCCGCCCTCGCTGCCTCTCCCAGCCTCACTCTCACTAGGCAATCCCTCCTCCCGCTCCCCACCCCAGCTTCTCCCAGTTGGGGAAACCCTCCTGACCACCGGGTCCAGCCAGCAGGGTACTTGTGATTTTTTGGGGGGTGGAGTGGCAGGGGTGGTGGTGGTGCTGCTTATGGGAAGGTCTTTAAGATTGAAGTCTCTGTAGATGAAACCTGGCTGCCCTCTGGGGCTGCTGTAGGAGAAAGGAGGAGTTGACGGTGCCCTGGCACAGGTGGGGAGAGGCTCTCCTTACCTCGGTCATCAGACGGTCGGCCCCACTGTTCTCCTCATCCTTGAAGATGATGTCTGGGTTGTAGTTGGGCACGAGGTCTCTGAAGCGCTCGGAGCCCCTTGTCACCCTCCCCTCGGCCGGCCCACTGGCGCCCAGGGTCCGCTCGGGCACGCTGGGCACGAATTGCTTGTAGAGCAGCGGCACGAGTTGTTTGCGCACGTAGCGGCGCCTGCCAACCGGCCCCCGGCCGGGCTCTCAGCTCTGGGCCGGTAGGGCCAGAAGTGCCAAGCAGCACAGGGGCACCAGGCTGGCCCGCAGCGCCATGAATGCAGCGGACTGGGGCCAAAAGGGAACGTTCTCGTCCTCACTAGCTCGACTGTCACTTGGGCATCTCCACAAGCACCGGAGAACGCAGCAGGCAGAGCTGCCCTCGGAGCGCCCTAGAACTCCTGTGGCCCCGAGCACCTGACTGCGGCCAGTTCTGCCCACATGCCCCGGGGGTCGGGAACCTGCTACTGACGGACCATCATAGCAGGAAAGGGGGGTCGTGGGTGAATGCCAGCCCAGCCAGTCCCCCGCCCTTCTCCCAGGACCGTCCCGCCCCCTCCCACCCGGGCGGGGGATCTAGCGGTCACCGTTGGTCCATTTCGTGACTGAAGTGTATCCCATCCTGGAAACCAGGCAGGCACCTGCCTAGGAAATCCTCGTAGCTTTACAGTCCTTGGCTGCCTGGATAACCATCCTTCTATGCCCAAGCCTAAACTTGGAACCAAACCATCCTCCTGTGAATTGGATCTTTACTCTCCCAAAGCCTATCCTGGCAGGCTATGCCCTTTGCTGTCATCCAGGAAGTATGAGTTCCAATTTCTGCCCAAAGAGCGAGACCTTTGGACATCCATCCAGAGTCTCTCTTCTCTCTGGTCCTCCCCAGAACTCTCCCACTTCCACCTCTCTCCACACAGCTGTAGCCAGGCTGGGAGCTGGGCGCAGGAGATCATTTTTCCTGGTAACTTTAGTCTTCCATTGGAAGCTCCCCAGAACCAGGAGCAGAGCTTGGTACTAATAATCTGGTTCGACTTTCAACTTTTGTCTTTTGTCCTTGACAGAAATCCAACTGTTGCCTCTTTTCAAATAACTTGTCAACTGGAAGCTCCTGAAGGTCAGTGGGCACTTAGACTCGTGTCATCCACACACATCCCTAGCCTTCTCCCTCTGTGGTTCCCTAGGGTCTACTTCCAGTCACTTGGGTTTCATTTCAGAGGCACTTCACCCACCAGTGTCAAGCATGTAGACATTACTTGCTCTGGGCCAGGAGATGGCACAGAGGCTAACAAGGCTGGATCCCACATGGCTGACTTCATGGTTCAAGTACCAGACCTTGCAGCTTGAAAATCATGCCAGGTGTGTGTGTGTGTGTGACCAAATTTCCAAAAAGAAAATGGAAAAGGGATTGCAGCATGCCCATCCCCCTGGGGGTATTTTCTTCTCACTTTCCTTTTCTCTCTCTGCCCTACAGCACATTTTTTTAAAAAAAATCACTTTCTCTAAGAAGCTTTTCCTGATGTCTCAACACTGCCCACTTGTGTTCCCTTGAGAACCAATAATTAATGGCTATAATTGTTGAGTGTTAGAATTATCTGGCACCCTTACTAGACAATTTTTTTTAAGAGAGATTTTTTGCTATGTGACACATGTGCTTGCCAAAGAGACAGAGAGACAGAGAGCAAGAAATCACCTCTCGGGAGGGATGGCCATGCTGCTATCCCTTCTCTATTCTCCTTTTGGGCACACATGTACACACACCTGGCATGAAGCTGCTGGCCTGCCAGCACCTTGACCACTGTTAACAAAGTAATTCTTAAGCTCAAACTTGTTTACCATGTGTCTCCAAAGGTAAGTGCCTAGCCTATAAAAGGATGCAACTATTTGTAGAATCTACACTTTTTTTCCCCCCGTAAGGCATGCGTGCACTTGCCAGAGAGAGACAGAGACAAAGAAAAAGGAAAAGTGAGGGGACCAGAAGGTGGTATGGTGGTTGAAGTGTTGGAATTCCCACATGGCTGTGGTTCGACTCCCAGACCTGGTAGCTTGCTTTCTTACTTTGTCTCTCTCTCTCCCTCTGGTGAGCACATGTAAAAAAATAATGATAATAAAATAAAATAAATCTTCAGGGACCAGCAAATGGCCTAATGGTTACATTGCTAAACTCCCATGTGGTCAACCACAGTTCTAGTCCTAGATCCAGCAGCTTAAAATTTACATCAGGTGTATGTGTGTGCATGTCCAAAATCCCAAGAGGAGAATGGAGGAGAAGGGATTGTGGCATGGCCATTCCCCAAGCGGGGGGTGATTCCTTGCTTTCTGTCTCTGTCTCTCTGGCAAGTGTACGTGCCCTATAGCAAAAATTTCTTAAAAAAAAAAAAATCTTTAAAAAAACAAAGGGGGAGGGGTATGGTGATTGAAGTGGTAGACTCTCACATGGCAGACCACGGTCTGAGTCCTGGACCTGGTGACTTGCCTTCTCATTTTCCTCTCTCTCTCTGGTCAAATTAAAATAAATGAATGAATAAAATTAAATAAATAATTCTTTTTTTAAAAAAAGAAAAGAGAAAGTGAGAAATCACCCCCAGGGGTATGGCCACGCCACAATCCCTTCTCCTTTCTCTCAGCATTTTGGGCATGCATGCACACATCCGGCATAAATTTCAAGCCACCAGGTCTGGGACTCAAATTGTCATCGGCCATGTAGGAGTCCAGTGCCTTAACCACTATGACACCTGCTGGCCCTGCATCTACACTTTTTGTATTCCGTACTTACCTATCTCTATAGCTAACACTCATAGCAACTTTGTGGACACTAGGAAAAGACTGCCCCTTCCTCAAGAGACCTGCCATTTATAAGAAAACTGTCATGTAACTATGCTTACAATAATTCTTATCCAAGTGGCACCCCTATAGGTTACGCTGTGCATAATCTGCATAACCCTAAGCAGGAATTTTGCCCTTACCTCAACATACCTAGAGAGCTATTTAAGGTACTGAGAGTCTCTGAAAGGATGAAGCTCTCTATGGGAAGAATCAGCCCTAGTCAGTTAGCTTTATTATTATTATTTTTTAACTCTATATCTAATAGTCAAGTCAGGGGGCTACAGGGCTGAAGGTGTGAGTGTATAGGGGGAGGTTATCCTAGTTCACAAAGGAATAGGCCTTGGGTATAAGGAAGAATCAGGGGACCAGCTGGCTCTAAGAGTACTCCCCACTGCCTAATTGTATAGCCAAGTTCCCAAAGGACATTTAGGAATGCAGATGGGAGGGCCAGCAGGTGGTATGGTAGTTAATGTGCTGGACTCCCACATGGCCAACTGTGCCAACCATGGTTCGAGTGTCTCTCATTCGGTAGACTGAGGACTGGTGGACAATCCCACAGTTCAAGTCTAGAGACCTCCCCGAGTACACCGGGCACCTGTGTGCCCATGATTGGGGACTAGCTGAAGGATGGGGTGGATAATGGGGTTAGAACTCTGTTGGGAATGCTCTTTCTCTCTCAGTCATGTAAGAAATAAACTTGAAAAAAAAAAAAAAAAGACACAGAATCAAGCTCTGTGGAAAACAAACAAACAAAAACAAAGCAAACCCTGGGATCAACTTTATTGCTGATGGGTGCAGCCTCTTCCTCCCTATGCCCTTGGTCTCTCTGGTGGTCCAAAGCCCCTCCAGGATAGCACAGTGCTTAGGCTCTGCTGGACCAGAGGCAAGGGAGACAACCTGCTTCCCAAGCCTGCCCCTGGCCCAGTCCCTACCCATTCCCACCCCACCCTATTGCACATCAAATCATGTAAACATAGCTTTGGGCATGGCCCAGAACAGCAGTGAGGCAGATTGATGTGTAAACGGATTTGGAACCAGGAGCCAGATCCAGCTACCCAGCCCCATCCCATGAGGAGACCATAGTTGAGTCTGGAAAAGCAGGGGGCCTGGTCCCAAACTCTGGCTCAGATTATGCAACAGTGCAGAAGGCTCAGTTCTCCTCTGCCGTGCACCCTCAGACTGCAGGACCGGAGGTCCCTCCACCCTCAGGCTCCCCTCCAAGTCTAGGCAGCAGATGGCAATGTCCAGTCTTCTCCCTCCCAACTCCTGCTGGGGCTCACTGGTGCTGGGTTTTCCTTGATGCCCGGGGGAAACCGGAAACAGGCAGTGGCAGTCTGTCCAGCCCTGGGGAGGAGGAGGAGGAGGAGGAGGTAGGTAGTCAAAGAGGGGCATAGATCTAACCCTTCATGGGTAAGACAGTCAAACCACAGAGTGGGCAGATTAGGAACATTACATGCAAAGCAGGAAGCACACTCTCTTCCCTGCTGCGATGACCACTGGTCCAGAGTGCCCCATCTTACAGCCACCCACCAGCCTACTCTCTCACCAAAGGCCCGGATCAGCTCTGCCCGCACAGCTGCAGTGAAAGTCTTGACCAGACAGAGTGTGGTCAGTCCTGCAAAGGCTGCATTGTAGAGGAACACAATGTAGAAATTGCCCAGCCAGTTGAAGCGTCCAAAGTCACCCAGAAGGTCAAAGCGAGTGAGCCCTGAAATACAAAGGTGGAGATGAAAGGTGGGCTCCCCCAGCCTTTTTCCTGCCTGGAGCCTAACTTCCTGCTGCCTCCTGGTGGCCACATCTCAACACTGCAACTGATAGGTTGGCTATTCCTTTGGCCTAGTTCTTCCTCCCAAGTTCTTGTCTGGAGGGGAGTTCAGGGCTGTTGAAGAAAGTGTCCGCAGCTAAGCTTCTTTTTCAGGGTCTGCTATCTTCTCCAAGGGTCCCCACTGGCTCCAGGTGTCCTTAGGAGCTCCCTGGGGCTGCTACTTGTTCCTGGGCCAGGAGCCTACAATCTGGTACCAACTTTTTTTAGTATAGAGCACAGTAGTGGCTAAGACCTCAGAATGAGGTGACCCCGCTTTGATTCATAGCCCAACTCCACCCCTAAATATCTGTGTGGTCTGGGGCAAGTTCCTTACATTTTGTGCCTTAGTTCACTCAATTATTAGGGAGAGAAAAGACTGTAACTATAAGAATTAAAGGAGAGACAACACTGGCACCCTTGTAACATTTATGGAACCCTTAATAATGATATTACCATAAATCCAAACTCTTTCTCTTCCCTTTACATTTTTCTACCTGATCCCAAAATAAAGGAACTCATCGGTGAACCCACAGCCTATTTTCCTACTAAATTCCCGTGACATATATACAAGTGATATAATGGAGAAAGTATAAATTTAACCTAACAGAGTTTATTTAAATACAACATTATTTATAACATACAGCAGATGATATGGTGGGAGTTGTTACCTCTGCAGCTCCCACACCACCTTAGGGGAAAGTAGTCACACTTTTTTTTTAAGAATTATTTATTTGGAGGACTGGCATTTAAGTTTAAATTCTAAATTAAATTATTTATTTAGAGGACCGTGGTGGTTAAAGCGCCAGACACTTGCGTTCTCACTTTCCCTCTTTCTGGCTCTCTGTCTCTCTCTCTGGTCAAATTAAAACAAGAATGAATAAATAAATAAAAT